TCCTTTCCAAGGGGAAACCCTAATCTGTCAAGGTTCTCCACATACCCAATCATCTTGAGTACATGGGGACTTACAGGGGCTCCCTCAGCTAACTTGTTGTTAAAAAGGGACTTTGAAACCTGAAACCTCTCATTTCTTGCTTGCTCTTGATAAAGCGTTTTCAGATGTCCGATCATATCGAACGCAGACATGTTCTCGTGTTGCTTTTGCAACTCAGAGTTCATGGTAGCAAGCATGAGGCAAGCGGTTTCATTGGCATCATCGAAATGCTTCTTATAAGCATCTCTTTCTGCCTTTGGTGCAGAACTAGGAGGTTCCTCCTCAGGAACTGGTGTCTCCAAGACATACAGCTTCTTATCGTGCTTGAGGACAATCCTCAGATTACGGTGCCAATCCAGGAAATTTGTCCCAGACAATTTTTCCTTATCTAGGATGGATCGCAAAATATTGTTCGATGTGTTTGTTGTCATGGTAATCTACAAGAGAAATATGAAAATATAAGTATCATTAAAACAACATATTTAATTAGGCCTTTAATCAAATATGCTCCCACTATTTTATTCAAAACAAATGACCCTCATCATTTGATTCGGAAAATCCCGTTGGAAGACTTTCTAGTGGGTCGAGATCCATGTTTCACTTTGTTTTAAGTCAGCGTTAGGCTGATTACACAAAACTAAGTTATTTAGGTAGGAACTCCTTCCAATTGTATCTCATACAACTCTCGAATATTTTCAATTGGGTGAATAACTCCTTATTCTGATCCATCACATGAATCATTCCCAATTCTTGCTTCTAAACATATATAATCTTATTATAATTTGTTTAGTTAAGTTTGACCCATTGTTTTAGCAATTGGATATTACAATTATCCCATCACACCTTACTAATATAGAACATGCACCTCGCGTAGGCGAAACCTACAATGCTCGATACTAGTCTTGATGAGTGCTAAAATTGGAAAGCATAAACTTAATATTTAACTTTGAGGGAATTTGTTATTAGTTTGATCTCACCGGCTTAACATGCAAAACGTCTCTCACATGCATCAACATACAATTACATGCATCAACATACATATAAAAAGATACAATTATGGCCCCTAACGCAATTGTTCTCTCAAGCCAATGAGAGAACCTAAGTTAACCTAATAACGATCTAAGCTTCTCCAAGCATGATCTCCAAGGTTATCCTCCTTTAATATTGAATACTTCCTTTTTTTTCATAACATAATATTACATTACATATAAGAAAACTCGTTTTACATACGAGGGAGTGAGATGAGAAAAGAAGTTACATAAAGAGATTGAGAGAGAGGCACGACACGCAGGCCGTATTCAAAAATCCCAAAACAATAATAAAGGAAAAACTAAGGCCATAACTGATCACCACAAATAAATAATAATAAACACACTTTTATTATTAGTTTAAAATTCCGATAATTAAATAAACTAAATTAAATTTCGGCTGATTGATCACACTTTGCAGACTTAGCCGGGGGTTCCGCTGCCCGGTCAGCGGACGGTGGTTCCGCTGACCGTTCAGCGGACGGGGGTCAAGGGGGCAGCGCCTCCTTGCGGGGTTGTTAGGGGCAGCGCCCCAGCGAAAAATTTTATGAACACTTCATTGTATTTCACGTCGTTTCCTGCACAACTTTTGTGCATTTACAACCCCAACCGGAAAAGTCTGCGGCAATACAACACTTGTACTGCCAGTAATCCTAATGCAACAATTTCATGCCGTCAAACACAACTCGATTGATAACTCAATATGATAGATCAACATGTCATTGCTTCACCATACTAACGTCGGATTCCGAAGCGAATGAAAATGATGATCTTTCAAAAAGAATTACAATCCTTATGTGATTGAATGGATGAAATCAAAACAGTATATCCCATATACCATCTTTGCATCAGAATTTCTTATATCTTATATAAAAGTGATCGATCTAATTGTGTAACCTATGGATGATCAATGTATCGCACAACTTCACCATACTAATGTCGGTTTCTGAAGCATAATCAACATCAATCATCCAAATCGTACACAACAGATGCCAAATTTAATTAATCGTTTATTGTTAAATTCATTCTGTGTTTTAATCGAATCAAATACAGAAAAGACGGAAATTTAACAGCTATCAGATCCATGGTTTCGTAAGTGGCTCTGATACCACTGAAGGAAAATTGCGATCTAAACGCAGCGGAAAACAAAAATTTCCTTTAGTGATCCTTACGAATGAGCATGGTCAGTGATAGAATCGTTACCTCTTTGTGGCGATTCAGATCTTTGATGCAGCAATCACAAGCGTTGATGAAGTGCAACGCCTCTACTCAGTCCACACGAACAGCTTCCGGTCACAGTGCTAGCTGCTTACGAACGGAATTATTTGACTGAGAAAAGAGAATCAAAAACGAAATTGCATCAAGTGAAAGCTTCATCACAAGGGTTCCTTTTATAGACTCTCTTGTGGGTTGCGGGCTAAAAACCCAATTCATATGATCCATAATAATATTATATATTATTATAATAACTATTATTATAATAAATATATTTATTTTATTATTATTTTATAACCATTATAAAATAACAATAATTATTATTATATTATCCGAATTTCTATTTTTCACTTAAGTGCACCGTACCTTACGGTGTTTCTTTGATTTTTCTATCTCTCATCAAACTGTCCTTATGTGTGTGACCCTGTAGGATTTCGTAACGTTGGTAATTATATTAAATTATATATTTAACATAATAAACAGTAAGCGGTATCTAGCAACACATCACTGCTACCCAAGTCACGAAAATGTCATGTGATCTGACAAAACCTTTTTCGTGATAATATATGTTTGTACAATTACCCTTTTGCCCCTATGTCTATATTGAACACAAGGCATACACTGTGCCATCCTTGTCCAGTTCAATATTGGGCCCTTAGACATTTCTCCTGTTATGCAGGATTGACAAATTCCATCTAGGACACTCATGTCCCTCAGCATGCTTCGTGGAGTGCCCATCTACTGTCTTTATGATCATCCAGTTACGGATAATGTTTGATCAGCAATAAAGCACCCGACTCTACATCTAGGGTCCATAGTGGTTTCAGGTCGAAGGGTGGTAATACACCATTATCACCATGAGAATAACTTATGACACTTTGCATAACATACTATGTAGTATTCTCATAGCGGGTCAATCCGGTATTAATATTACTCCTAATATTTATACCTATGTCAAGACTTGATAACTCTTTATCCATGATCCATGAGATGTGATCATCAGTCTATCTTCATAATAGTCTCAATGCTTTTAATGTTATCCCACTTTGCAATAAAGCTTGACTACGGATATTTTAAGAATAATGTCTTTATGTTTAATGGGATCTCATGATTAAGTCACACTTAACATTTCATTAAACAGACTAACTATTCTAGGGACTTTATTATTCTGAAAGACAAACATAATAAAGAAATGCCTTTTATTATTAAACGAATAATCCGATACAAGTACCAAAAAGTATTGGCCTCTAGGGCTTACACCAACAGTGTGTACAAGAAAATATATAACACGTTGTTGGTACACTCAATATATTTTTGTCATGTTCAGGTAGAGAGCAATTGAATGTTGTAAAATGGATTTTAAGGTATCTTCGTAGTACTACTTCTGTGAGACTTTGTTTTGGAGGAGATAAGCCTACTCTAGTGGTGGTACTCTGACTCTGATATGGTTGGAGACATTGATTCCAGAAAGTCCACTTCAGGCTACGTGATTAAATTTGCAGGGGGTTGTGGCTTGGAAGTCCAAATTGCAAAAGCGCGTAGCATTGTCTACTAAAGAGGCTGAGTTCATTTTCATTACCGAACCATGCAAAGAGTTACTGTGGTTGAAGAAATTTTTGCAAGAGTTTGGTTTTGTTCAAGAAAAATGTGTTATTTGTTGATAGTCAAATCGCTATTCATCTTGGTAAGAATCCGACTTTTCATAATAGATTCAAACACATTGATGTGAAATATCATTAAATACATGATGTTTTGGATCCTAAGTTGTTGGAGTTAGCTAAAGTTTATTACCAAGAGGAAAATTTGAAGCTTGCTGTGATATCACTGGTTTGCCGATTTCCTCCACATAGTTGTGAGGGAAGATTTGTGAATAACTCATTTGTCTCACTTATTTACGTGAAAAATATCAATTTAGGGTTGAGAGAGATAAAAAAAAAATAAAGATTCAAAATAGAGAAAAGAGGATAGATTCACAACACTTATATCTAACTTTTGACCGTTCATAATTTCAAAATAAAGTGTGAGCCAAAAGATATATGCTTTGCATTGACGCTGCATATTTGTGTAACTTTTTAGCTTTTTAATTCATATTTGTAAAATAATTTGTTTTATAATTTGTTGTTATTAGCACTAGTTTATGAATCACTTTAAGACTCTCTTGTACCCTTAATTGATTATAGAGAAGCTATTTCTTCCATCTCTGCAAACTACATAGTTCATAATTAAATGAGTAGAATTAAACCAACTAATCTTGAAGGAAAATAAAAGTTCTAACCAAAGGAAGATGAAATTCATATCATGAAATAGGTTTTCCTGAAGTTACTTCAGTAAAAGCCATTCCTATAATCTCAGGCGTGTGATCACGCAATAAATTAGTACATTTGCATTCAATTTACAACTATACAGTAATGATGCACCAATTGTATTGAACCTTATTGACAAGCAACTATCTATGTAGCAATACTGTGATTACCTCACACTACACAAATAACTTAAAAGTCGCTAGAATCTCACCCTTTTAACCATTCAAAAAGAAAAGAAAACCCAACCCTATCAGTTTTATCATATTATTACAACACTTTCAATATCATTACAGGTTGAAAATAATACTAATAGAGTCCCTTTTCTTTGGTTCTCCTTCCTGCAAAATTGTCAATCATGCATATATTGCACGCAAAGAATGAAATATGATACATTATTCTTATTCTTATTATATCTTTATGCTGCAGCAGAGTGCTTATCCTCATAATCATCAAGATTAAGAGCATGTAGCAACTTTGGCCAAGATTCTGGGATTCCTCCAGGCAGGTTAAACTCTAATAATTTCCCTCTATTGCGGTAAAACTCCTCCACAGGCCGACTCTGCAATCATAATAGATAACCAATCCTAAACCAGTTAGATAAAACAGCAAAAATTATTCACAGAAAACTAATTATAATTCAAAAGCAACATGTAACTAGAAACATAAACTTTTTTTATACAACTTCACTCAGATATTTACTTTCATAAGCCCCTCATAATATGATAAATAGAAAATTTCAAATAAGTTACAAAAGCAGCGATACCAATTCATTGTATATCCGAAGCCTTTCTTTGACAACTACTTCAGTATCATCTGACCGAGTAATGAGCTTCGACATACAATTGACAGGAGGAAGAAGCGGAGCCATGACAATTTCAGGACTCCCATTCTCAGCCTTGATGTCAATGGAAGCAACATTAAAATTTCCTCCGCACTGATTACAAATCCTCCTCCCAAGGCATTTCTCGAGCAGTACATCTTCTCGAAGCCTTAGATTGATAACCAAGTCAATATCAGTGACCCCTTCTAATATTTCCTGAGCACAAAAATAAAGGTAAATATTATTGGAGGAGAGAAAATAAGGTTGCTTATTTAGAGAATAACTTGGTTTAGAAAAACATCACAGGACAACCGCAGAAAATAGATGCACATTGATATAAAAAGAACATCAGACGGGACCATTGTAATTCGATGGTAGGAAAGCATTTCAAAAAAAATTGATGACAAGTACTATGAAATCAGCATATTATCCAAATCAGCAAAATTTGTTCATTGGATATTACAGTTGTAGGTATCAAAATCCACTATCAATGTTTTCGTTCCCGGTATTCCTGCCTATAGTGACATATAGGTTAACAAGTTGAAGATATACTCACTGCTTGGTTAATTGTTCGAGGAAAACCATCAAGAATAAATCCCAGGTCACCTTTAGCTTCCCCGGCAACAAGTCTCTTTGACAATAAATTTATAATAATTTCATCCGACACCAATTGACCTTGATTTACAATTTCTGATAGCTGTAAGACACCAAACATTACAAATCAGTTAGCGTACGAGTCACTGCAATATGACTTATTGATATAACATATCCGTGTTTATCAAAGCTCAACCATTTTCAAGCTACTAAGAATAGTAAACATTTAACATCTTAATCATTTATCTCGCTATTTACCCTATAGCGGCTGCTATAGTGTTCTGCACAGCTAAGTCTCTTCCCATAGCTAGCTAGAGATAGATACACATGAAATTATCTAAATTATCTCACCAATTAACTAAACTAACACATGCAACTACAAACTACAAGTTCTTGCATCAAATATACAAATGATCCTCAAAGCAAAGCTCAGATTATTAGGTTAGGTTAGATATGAACAAAAAGAATCTCAAAGAGAATAATAATAAGAAAACCTGAGAAGAGAGTGGACCAGAAGAAGCGAGCTCTTCGCGAACGAGATCACCGGTGGCGATGTGAGGAACACCGAGGAGATTGGATAGACGGCCAGCGTAGGTCCCTTTCCCGACGCCAGGACAACCGAGGAAGACCCACCGTACGTGGCTGTTCTTCTGATCTTCTCCGCGCGTAGGAACTAGACGGAGTGGCGCGTGGGAGTTGAGCTCGGAGGATAGATATCGGTTTGCGATGGAAGAGAGGAAAGACGCGCGCGTAGAAAGGCGGGTGACGGCCGCCATGGGATTCTGCAGGAACGAGACTCACGCCGACCAATAATGAAATGATTACTTTTTGGTTTAACGTGTATATTTAGTTAATTTTTGGATTTAAGACTTTAAAAATAATACTGTCTTTCCAAATTATAAGTTTTGGTGGTTTCATGCAAGAACTTAATTATTAATTTATTAAAAAAATAAATTATACATGACTTTATAGTATTAAATACTTGAGAGTATATTAGAAAAAATGTCATGACTTATAATTTGGGGCAAAGAGAGTATATACTAGGCAAAAATAGTAATTCTTAAGTTATTTTATTATATCCTTTATATTTTTTCCTACAAGTTGACTATTTAACTAATAAATTTATAGTTGAACTTTTTCACAAATTTCAAGTTTTAAAAAAATTAATATGGCACTGACAACGCCTACGTGTCATTTAATGAGATGATGAAGAACATGTTAAGATGTTGAAGATGCTAGTCTATGTTATAATGTTGTTAGTTTTGATTTTTGTAATATTGATGTGTATTTTGGTTCAGAAGTGGCGATCATTGTTAATTTTGATGTTAGTGTCGTAAAACATGATTTTTGGTACATTTATGTAACACTTGTTGACAATGGTTAATTCTTCAATTCTTTCTATTTTGTGTTGCAATTCTATAGCAATTTTGTTATAATAAAATCGTAATTTGTACAACAGACAAAACTCGAAGGACTGGGTTGTTACAATTTAAAAACAAATAGAACCTGTTTGTAGCGGAAAAAAACATAAAGGACTGAATCACTACGATAAAATAATTTAAAGGACCCTAAATATATTTTTTTTACCTATATACAACTTACAAGAAAAGAAAAAAAATGCTAAGCCAATTAAACATTAAAAATAATATACCAAAAATTACTATGCATTAGTGTGGTTTTAAAAAAATATAAATATTGAATTTTCAAAAAAATACAGATACCCCTAAGTTAGTAGAGGTGACTAGAGATCTTAGTATTTTTTGGTGGTATATGACTTGTCCGCGACAATGAGAGATTTTGTTTGGTAGTGTTTATGGTGATAAGAGAGCAAACTCACATAAGGTGAGAAGTTATGTGACTTTCAGGGGTGTATCGTATGTATTTACGATATGTCCTCTCACCTGCTAAGTATGAGGTATTTATAGGGGCACTTGGGTCTAGGATTTCTTTAGGGATGATAACCACCCATTAAGTTAGTAGTGGATCGTTGAATGTCTATCTCATATGGATATGTGGATTAGCTTGTTAACCCTAACTTATCTCTAATCAAGGAACGCTTTTTCTCACATTTCCCATGATTGAGAGAACAGGGAGCACCCAGGGCGAGGTGGTCACTAATGGCAGGCGGCATATGAGAGTTTTCCCACTCGTGCAGTTGGTAATCTCCCTGCCTTTTGTAGGTATTTTACATGACAAAGCATTAGGGGTATCCATCTGAGGAGATCTGAGTACTTCATGCGCGACGTTGAGTTTCTCGGACGACACTTAGGCCAAAGCTCTCAAACAAGACTTACAAGTTAAGCCTCTTGAACTTGACTTCAATCATATCCCTCAAGCGAGACTTTATGTGGGACCTTGTTTGAGGCAATATCATGTCCCTCAGGTGTGGCATCTATATGAGCTTGTTATATGGGACTCTCAGTCCCTCAGGCGACAATATATTATTAAGCCTATCTAAAGAGACTTCAAGTCTCTCAGACAAGATGTTAGACCTTTTGGGCGAGACATCAATCAAACCATCTAACAAGACTTTGAGCTAAGACTCTTGGGCCTGACTTTGATCGCATCCCTTGGGCAAGACTTTAGGTTAGATCCTGACCGAGGAAACTCCAAGTTACTCAAGTGAGGCGTTAGGTAAGCCTATTAGATATGACTCTCAGTCCCTCAGGCGAAAGTATATTGTTAAGCACGTCTAATGAGACTTTGAGTCTCTATGGAAAGACGTTGAACCTCTCAGGCAAGACTTCAATCAAACCCCCAAACAAGAATTAAAGTTAAGTCTCTTCGGCTAGACTTCGGTTGTGTCCCTTGGGCGAGACTTTTGGATGGATCCCGTCCGAGGAAACTCTAAGTCACTCAGGCGAGGCGTTAGGTAAGTTTATTAGAGGGGACTCTCAATCTCTTAGACGAAAGTATATTGTCAAACTTTTTTAAAGAGACCCTAAGTATCCCAGGAGAGGCATTGATCCTCTCGGGCGAGACTTTGATCAAACCCTCAAGCAAGGCTTTAAGTTCAGTCTCTAGGGCTAAACTTTGGTCGCCTCCCTTGGGCGAGACTTTAGGCTGGATCCCGCTTGAGGAAACTCTACGTCACTCAAGTAGGGTGTTAGGTAAGTCTATTAAATGAGATTTTTGGTCTCTCAGGCAAAATTATATTGATTAGCTTGTGTGAAGAGACTCTAATTCTCCCAGGCGAGGCTTTGAGCCTCTCGGGAGGGGCTTTGATCAAGCCATCATAGAAGACTTTAAGTTAAGTCTCTTATACCAAACTTAGGTTGCATCCCTTGGGCGAGACTTTAGGATAGATCCCGCACAAGGAAACTCCAAGTCACTCAGGTGGGGCATTAGATAAGCATGTAAGATGAGACTCTTAGTCCCTCAGACGAAAGTATATTGTTGAACCTTTTTTAAGAGACGCGGAGTCTCTCAGGAGAGATGTTGAGCCTCTAGATCGAGACTTTGATCAAACCCTCAGACAATAATTAAGGTGAGGCAGCCCCTGGTGGATAATAAAATTATATTTCCCTTAAAGAAGGATACGATCTTCCCGTGGGAGTCCTACATATTCATATCGCATTGAGAGGTAGCAAATATCTTCTCATGGAAGTCTAACGTGCTTGTGTTGCCTGAGGAGGCGACGAGGATCTTCCTATGGAAGTCCAACGTGCTCGTGTTTCCTAAAGAGGTGGAAAGGATCTTCCTACAGAAGTTTATCGTTTTTGTATTGTCTAGAAAGGAGACAAGGATCTTTGTGTGGAAGTCTAACATAGTTGTATTGCCTGGGAAGGCAACAAAAATATTCATGTGGAAGTCCATCATAGTAGTATTGTCTGGAAAGGCAACAAGGATCTTCTTCTGAAAGTATAACACACCCTATACCCTAATCAAAATGTTCTCCATGCTCATAAACATTTAAAAGTCCGTACATAGGTAAGCGATATGCCCCCTAAAAAAATTACAAATAGTTTAACTATAATAATATTTTAAACGGATAGAGTTCCAAGTTCTGGGTATGAGTTGTCCATCTTACTCTTGCAACTTGTATGCTTTGTGTAAAAGCTTATAAAATAAGTGGCACGGTCCTTCCCTATTGGGTTGCAAATTTTCCTACTACGCATGGAAAACCACTTGTCTCAGTACCAGCTTGCCTTCCCGCATTTCTCTTAGCATTACCTTGGAGTTGTCTCTTACTTCATCAACCAAATCAGCGACACATTTTAGTTATGCATTGTTCACCTCTTAGTTGAACTGGGAGCATCGTCATGAAGGGGTGTTGGTCTCCACGAGCAACATAACATCCACCATGTGATGTTTGAAGGATTCATTATTTTGTTTGGTTTCTGGAAATTTGTTCATGTTCATGAACATGAACATGAAGAACATGATGATGAAAGCGAAGTGATAGGCGAGAGAGTCTGCGTGATGAGAGAGTAAAAATGGTTCAAATGAAGAGATATGTTGGATCTCCATCATTTTTATGTGTTTTTGATGTAATCATATAGAGCTACATGGCCTTGACTGAGACACTTAATCATGGCCTTAAGGAGCACATGTACATGAGTTCCCGCCATAGTTCCACAAACCTTAGCCTTTTGATCACGATATGATGGCCTTGTTTTCTTGAACACGAGATGCAATCAGGTCCATCTGATCACAATAGATGGCCATGTGCATGCCAGCTTTTTTAAATCTTGTTTGGAGTTCTAGGCCTCTAGTGTTTGGATCATAATCTTTTGCTTAGTCACACTCCTCTATTTAGTCTCACACCTCCTATTGGTGTGAGACAATTAAATGTTGGCCCCAGGTGTGTTAGTGATCCATGTCCCTTTTTTGTTGGCTCTTAGAATTTTTGAGGGAATGAGCCTTTTGGGCCTAGGTGTTGTACACCCCCGTGTTTTTGTTGTTAATTTGGTTTTGTGGGCCCTAAACTCATTTCCTTTATTTTATTTCAAACTTCATTGACCCATGTATACACCCCTCCCTCATGTTTGTTTTTATTTATTTATTTATTTTATTTTTAAGTTTTATTAGTTTGATTAGTTGTTTAATTAATTTGACTAATTAATAATTGTTATAAAAATAAATGAATAAAATTATTGTTTTATATTTAACAAAATCAAACATATTTCTCAAACTCAATCAAATTTATTTTCATCATAAAATCATACTTACTTCAAACTACTTTTCACAATTAAACCAAAATATTTTTCACAATTAAATCGGATGAAAAAATATTAGTTGGACGTAATATCTATCCTTTTCCCTGAGTATTTGAATACCTGCCATATAGCTCGTCTTTTGAATATTCTCCATCCTCTCAAAAGGTAATAACGCAATCGAATTCAATTTGTTTCTTATCAGATAAAAAAGGATTAGTTGGACGTAATATCTATCATTTCCCCCAAATATTTGGATATGTGTCGTATAGATAGCCTTTCGAGTACTCGTCATCTTCAAAGGACTTTTATTCGATTCATATCAAACCTTTTCACAATTAAATCAGACGAAGAAGGACTAGTTGGATGTATATCCCTCTTTTCCACGAGTACTTGGATACCTGCAGTATAATTTTCCTTTCAAGTACTTGCCATATTCAAAGGGCTTTGGTTCGATTCATATCAAACCTTTTAATAATTAAATCGGATGAAAAAAATACTAGTTGAATGTATATCCCTCTTTCCCCCAAATATTTGAATACTTGTTGTATAACTTGCCTTTGGAGTACTCGTCTTCCACTCAAAACACAATAACATGATCGAACTCAATTCGTTTCTTT